GAATAGAATAGAATAGAATAGAATAGAATAGAATAGAATAGAATAGAATAGAATAGAATAGAATAGAATAGAAATTGTCTTTACTGTTTATTTTGGAAATGTTTCCCAATAGCAAGTGAAAAGCAAACTGGAGGATATCCAAAGCATATCCTGCAAGGGAAACAAATGTTAAAACAAATATAAATACAGCAGATTTTGGAGCAAATTTGCCATGTAAGAAGAAATACTGACAGTTATTGGATGTTAGAAAACTAAGACACCTGCACTTCAGCAGTGTGACCTCAATATATGTGAATGTATCTATAAAACACAAAGACACTATTGACAAGAATTTAACAGGAGGAAAAACTGCAGACAGATAAACACTGAGTTTGTTAGGAGCAACAATGATGATAAAGTCCAAAAGTTGCTGGGCTAGGACATGAAAACAAAAAGTAGGATAATTGACCGAATTAAAATAAAGAAAATCTAAATAGTATTATTGCAATTCAACAGTTTAATTTTATCATAAATGGAAAAATGAGAGGAAGACGTTTATGCTGAATATGTTGAATGAGAGGAAGAGTTCAAAGCCTGTCAATTTTTTATATACTTTTCTAAGTTTTCACTTCTGCTATAACCTTTTGCTGCTGTAACACCACAATTTCCCCATTGTTGGACCGTAAAGGGATTTTCTATTCTATTCTATTCTATTCTATTCTATTCTATTCTATTCTATTCTATTCTATTCTATTCTATTCTATTCTATTCTATTGTGTGGTTAACTTTGAGGTGGAAATCTGACTTAATACAAGATTCCATAAGTATCAGTGATGTCTTTATTTGTCTATTATTAACCTTACCTCAAACTAAATCCTTGTTTCGTTGACATTTCATTTTTTATCATTTATTATATATATTTTATTATTTATCTGATTAGAGTAGCTATAGATGCTGTAATTCAATTGTCCACTAGATGGTGCTAAAAAGTAGCTACTTGTGAATGACCTTGTATATCTAGCATTTACTTGCTATTTACTTTCTACGTTGTAACTCCATACGTTTTTCATATTACAGATATAAAAAACAATACACGTGGTATAAATCTAAGGTTAAATTAATTTAGTTGCTTCTTTAAACATAGTATAAAAACTGAACTTTTTGGGTATACAAAAACGTATTTTGTAAGTTAACTTTCTGAAGTTATCCTAGGTATTAATGCTTTATATTCCAATTTTAGTTTATTAATACTCTGCTATTTTATTATTACAGTATTAGTTTATTTATGGTTTATAAAAAAGTTTACGAGTTATGTATTTCTATTCTAAGATATAATTTTCTGCTTGTATATTTTTCTAAATAATGTTTTGCAAAAAATGTTATTGCTTTGTTATATACATATGTACGGAAGAGGATTAAGGCCACTGAAAAACTAAAAAAAGTGAACTGATTTTTTAATTTTATTTCAGTATAATAATGGAAAAAAGTCAGAATTCTGACTTTAATCTCAGAATTGTGGATCTTAATGTAGATGCTCACCATGAAGGAAGAGATGTGGAGCACTTAGCTTCACTGACAAAGATGTGAGTTGTTTGGGAGGGCCAGTAACACATTGGTGGAAAAGGACGGAATTAGGTGACTTTTAACGTGCCAGAGGGGATTAAAAGAAGAGAGCTAGTTTAGTTTCTAAAACAGATATCGCTATGGCTTGATGCTAACATGTTTGTTAGCTGTCTGAATTCAGAAGGAATTCTGAGATAAGTTCAGAATTCTGAGTGAAAGTCAGAATT